ACTACAGTGATACGCAAAGGTACTTTCGCTATGTATGACTATGGAATGTGGAAAAATCTGTTTTATTACAGCCAAACACAGCCTCCGACTTTTGATCTCAGCTCGATTCCAAGTTCATTGCCTATATGGATGGGTTATGGGGGCAATGATGCATTAGCAGATGTTCAGGACGTGCATCATACGCTTAGGGAGTTGCCATCGAAACCCAATCTTCTTTATCTCGAAAATTATGGTCATATTGATTTCCTTTTGAGCGTGAGATCGAAGGAAGATGTTTATGACAATATGCTTGCATTTTTCAGCTCATTGGAAAGTTCTAGCAGTTATTAACTGCCTATATATGCATACACAGCCAATCTGTGTATGTTGTAAAATGCAAAGATAAAATAAGAATAACAGATGAGAGGCAGAGAGCACTTCTAGGCTCTTAGTGATGTGTATATGTGTGTAGATGGATTAGGAGTTGTACACAATTATTGCGTGGGCTTTTCTTTTTATAGCCTTACAGAAACTCTTTATGTGATATAATTTTAATTGAAATATCCTCGGGTACATTAATTATAATAAAAAAAAAAAAAGTCAAAGTAGCCATAGCTTGGTGGTGAGAAGGGCGCGTTGGGCCTACAAGCTCGTGTAGGATGTTTGAAAGTCAGGAGGAACCTTGGGCAAGTCCATTTACAGATGGATAACAGACTGGTAATTCATGTGGCCATAGGCTATTTGAGGCCTGAGAGTATAAAAGGGGACGGCTGGACCACCTTCATGGCACATCCCATAGTTTAACTCCCCAAGTCACTGAGGGACCGGGCTTGGGGTCCAAGACTACACAGACGTAAGCTTGGAACCTGAGTATAAAAAAGCTTGGGGTCCAAGACTACACAGACGTAAGCTTGGAACCTGAGTATNAAAGTAACTTTGACTAAATTAGAAACTCCAAAGGTGAAAGAATCCTCTCTTAAAAAAAACCCCCTCATCTCTCTCTAAACTCTTGGCAGAAAAAGGAAAAATGGGAACTAGACAACTCCCTTCTTCTCAGCTTGTCGTCGTTTCGCGGCTTGCTTGGTCCTCCAGCCATGAGTTGGGGCGACGACGGCTGGTTGAGCGAAACTTCTTTCGCTCAACCGATGGGTGCAGATGGGTCGAAGACGATGCCTCCTCCGATGTGGTTTGACAGGTTCACTCTCCAAGCATCCGTTTTTCCCTCGATTGAAGGCTGCAGAAGATCAGATCTGGGTTGATACTCGCCAGATCTGACTAGACGTTTGGGTAAAATGGCATTTTTTGGTTTAGGGGCCTTTGATTTGTTGCTCTCTCTTAGTTTCTCGGTTGTGGGGTTAGATCATTGTGGGGTTTTCACCCGTGTGCTAGTTCGGGTGGCCGTAGTAGTGTGCTTGTGAGATGCATGGAAGGTAGTATTATTTTGTTAGTGTAGGTGAGTTGTTTTTTTTTTTCTTGTTTCTCCTCCGTTTTTTAGTTTTCAGTCCAACTGTGTTTGGTTTATAGTCTCATTTATGGAGTGTTCTTATCTTTTTTTGTAGGTTTGTGTTTAAGTGTTCTTGTTACTCCCCTTGTTTAATTGTGTAATTCCAATGAGAAGGTGGATCCAAACTCTATATAGTTCTTGAAGTGTCAGTTGACATCTCGGATGTACTCTAATTTGAAGTTTTTAATATAATCGTTTGAAAAAAAAGTGACTGAAAAAATACAATAAAATTTAATAAAAAATAATACTAAATAACCATTTACAAATATACCCTCAATTTAAAAAAGGTAAGAGTTTGAAAGAAAAATTGTTCATCTTCCTTCCCACTCCCATTTGCTCCTAATCCTCCTAATCTAATCTCGCTCGACAAGAACCACATGAAGAAAAAGGTGAACCAGCACCAAACCCCAGTCCCACTCCTCATGCTCTCGTCCCTCCAATTCTAGAAAAAGAACGCATGAAACTGGCCACCATACACTCAAAATCGACCGCCGGCAGGAGAAGAGCTTGCCACCGTTTGGCATCCTGCGCACACTAGGAGTGTCTCCCTGTGGCCAATTGGTATCCATGGTTTATGTACTTTTTTATATATTATTTTTTTATTACCATACACATTATACTTGTTATTAGTTTGTTAGTAGTAGGCCGATGTATATTTTTTATTAGTACGGTCATTCAAGTGAACAACCATTAGTTGGTATTCTTGTTCGCACATATATATAGTGATTTTCTAAAAGTCAATATTCCTACAATTATTATAGCATAACAAAGCTCAAACATGTGGAAGAGATATCATTTATAAAGTGATTGCGACTTAAATGTATCACAATCAAATTCGTTATCAAATGAAATTATACAAATCAGTGATTCTTAATTTTTAGCGTTTCTAATTTTTTTTTTAAGTTTTTATAAACTGAATTTATCCGTATATATTTGAAATTCTATTACTAGTTTTATAATTATTCAATATTATGATCATTANAAAAAAAAAAAATATTATTTATATATAAAATATATACCGAAAATTACTTTCTTAATGTTTTAAATATGACTCAATGTTAGTATCAATTTGATTGATTTATTTAACATTAAACAACCACATAAAAAAACAACAACTACTTTAATTTAGTCCAATCTAATACAGATATTACTTAAAAAGAAATATTAGGTGGAACGTACCAACTTGAATAGTAAATAAGAATTTAATTCAATCATATTGGAATATCACATGTGAATTGTCCCACATTGATTTTAAGGGTTAATTAATGAGCCTAGTTTATAAGTATATTGAGCTACTCTTTCCATCACCAATTGGTTTTGGGATGTAAGCTCACTAAGGTGTACCTAGACTTACCTCTTATGCGCTTCACCTGGTGGAACCGCACCCTCTTCCTCTAATTATAATAAATCAATACAGTATAATTCAGTATCACATATTAATTTGGTCCAATCTAATATGGAGAAACATATCAAGTGCGTGTGTGAGGCAATACTGTAATACAATTACTGTGAAAAGAACAGAATGTAGCCATGCAGGAAGTTAAATCGATCCCCAGTTCTGAATAGGTAAAAAATTAGACAATGACAAATAAGGGACAATACTATGAGAATCCGAGAGCGCCACGTCATTCAATTCCGATCAACAACCTCCCTCACGATGATCCGCCATCCCCCACCGCTTTTCTCGATGCCCTCCGACGACCAGTAAATTTGTTTTTAAAACAATTTATTCTATTGTTGCAGGAAGTTAAAATCGGTCCCCAGTTCTGAATAGGTAAATAAATATACAATGACAAATAAAGGACAATAGTATGTGAATTCTAGAGCGCCACCTCATTCAATTCTGACCAGCAACCTCCCTCACGACGACCCGTCATCCCCTACCGATTTTCTTGATGCCCTCCGACGACCAGTAAATTTGTTTTCTAAGACAATTTATTATATTGTTATATTGATCCAACAATTGTAAACAATAATTGTTTTTAGTAGAACTGCAAAATCTCAAGTTGAAAAATCCTACTAATTTGTCTTGTTTTGCGTGTTTGTTTGACTTAGGGTTTAGAGCGTCTCCAACCGAGATGGATTAACAAACTTAAAATCCAAAGATGTTATTGTTCAATATAGCCAAAGTTTATGGCAATTGCGTCTTAAACTTATTAGTTTAATCACACACTATTACTTTTTTTCAAAATATTATTCGCTTTTTATTCGCATAAATGTCGTAGTTTCATTTGCATACAAAAAATAACTGTTTACCAAATCTTTGCATATTCGTCGTTTTGCATAATATGGACTTACTTGCTCAATTATCTTTGTCTGACTATCGCATAATTTATCTCATAGTGAAGTCGCACATTGCCCAATTATCTTCGATTTTTTTTTTTTTTGTATTAAATAGTAACGATGCGAATAATAATCGCAAGTTACAAATTTACCAAATATGTAAATTCAACTAAATTAACCTGCGATTAATTATGATATAACATTTTGCCTAATAATTTTATATTTTAATGGAAAACTAAAAGAAATGGTTACACGGATCACAGTTTGACTCATTTTAATACAGAAATATAATGATTACGCGATTCACTATTTGTATCTGTTTGGCAGTCTGTCGTAGCATGTCTGAAACGTTTTTACTATTTTTTTGTATTAAATAATAACTATGAGACAAATATGCGTCAGAACAATTTTCGAGTAATAAATCGCAGAGTTACCAAAATAAAATTTTGAATAAATTAATCTTTGATTAATTATGCATATAAAAATTCGCCTAATAATCGCATATTTTAATAAAAAAATAAAATATTATATTTAAAGTAATCTGATGTGCAACTAAAATGTGGGCTTCACCGAACTGTTCACACAAATCTCTGCATATTAATTGTCAATTTGTCACATAGTTTATCAGAGAAAATTGCATTTTTAGTCCAGTAACTTAGGTTGTTTCCAATTTTAGTCCAGTAAATTGAGTCGATCCAAAATTGGTCCAAAAACTTCCAAAATGTAGTTAAATTAGTCCAATTTCGGTCCCCGTCGCCGGAATTCGATTGAAATGTGCTGAGTCAAAATTGATCCAAAAACTTTCAAAATGTAGTTAAATTAGTCCAATTTCGGTCCCCGTCGCGGGAATCCGATCGAAATGTGCTGAGTTGGCAATTCGGATTCCGGCGACGGGGACCGAAATTGGACTAATTTAATTACATTTTGGAAGTTTTTGGACCAATTTTGGATCGGCCCAAGTTACTTGACTAAAGTGGGAAACACGCTAAGTTACTGGACTAAAATTGTAATTTTTTCTAATTTATCACATAATGTTTACGGACTTGCTTTGTTATCTTCGACTTTCTGTCGCATCCTTCATCGCATATGTATGTCGCACTTTCTAAATTGATTTCGCCTATCTTTCATATAATTCATCGCATAATTATTTTGTACTTATTCAATTATCTTCGTTTTTTAGCTGCATAGTTTATCACATATATATTTCGCACTTACCCAATAGCTTCACCTTTCCGTCGCATAATCTATTGTATATTTATTTCGCACCTGCTCAATTAACTTCGTCTTTCTGTCGCATAATTGTAATCACATATTTATTTCGCACTTGCTCAATTAACTCTCCTAACCATCGCATAGTTCATCACATATTTATTACGCACTTTCTCAATTAACTTCACCTTTCGGTCGCATAGTTTATCATATATATATATTTCACACTTTTTTCTTATTTTCGTCTGTTTGTCGCATATGTAATTCCCACTTACCTATTTATCTTTGCCTTTCTTGGCATAGTTAATCGGATAAATATTTCGCACTTGTCCAAACTTACTCGATTATCTTTGTATGTCTATTAGAAATTATCCCGCTTAACTATTTCGCACTCCCATCTCAAAGCGGGTGAAAATAATTATTTCCTCTTAATTCTTATATTATTTATTGTGAAAACAACATAATGCAGCAAGAAAGAGTAATACGAATGTCTACTATTATTAGATAATACTAAGAAATGGTTCCTTCACTGTTTTTCAGCATTGGATACACATGTAGATTATGTTG